CTGCCATAGCAGCCGCTACGACGGTAGATCGCAGGCTTGGCATCGGGACGCAAATGAGCAACTGCACTCAAAAACCGTGCTCCCTGTCAAGCAAGATCCTTTGCGTTGATTGGCTCTTGCAGTGGGGCCAATCAAAACGAAGGAAATTTGGAATGCAAAATTCGAACCTTGTCAGAGCTCGCTGGTTGAAGCAGCTTCTGTCACGAGGCCCGACGATACCACGCGTAGCGCTTGGAAGACGCTGGTGACCGCACGCTCTGTCCAAGCATGCGTCGGAGCACTGCCCCCACTACTTTGGCGCCCGTTGAGCATTTCGGCTCGGTCAGCTCAGTTACTTCTTATTTTCGAAACCTTTTCATTCTGCACTAGCCTCCGCTTCAACGTCACAACCGTCAGCCAAGTGCTCGTAACCGCGTGTCACTTGGGGCGCTAGAACCATCACACACATTCACCGGAGAGCTCTTCCCAAAAGGTGCCACATCACGCCAAACCGCCTTCGCTGGGTTGTTTGCTCTCTTTAAGTGAGCGAAGCGCCCTGAACGATGCAAGCTGCCACGGACGACTGTGCGTCTTGATGGGTATTTGACGTCTAGTCTGGTCTACAGCGGATTAGGCATCGAGCCAAATGCGGCACGCGACCCGCCGTGCTGCCAGGTCACGAGCCGACCTACCATTTGGCCAATCAACGTCGAGATGCGACACGTCGCAAAAGACGTCTTTTTGGCCAATGGCCTTGCGAGCCGGTTGTTATCCATTCAGAACCGCATTGCCCCTCTGCCGAGATGGCCGCCCAAGCCTCCCCTGCCACCAGCGGCCCGTCGTCGCCCCGCGGCCAGCCGGCGCCCGACTCGATCTCGTCGGCAACACTGCTAGAGCGCGTGCAGTCGTACGCGACCACGGGCACCATCGACGCCTCCGGCCTCGCGCCCCTCGAGGTCGACGTGCTCTTCCACGTTCTGCACAAGCTCCATGACAGGTTCCTCAAGCAGTACGACTGCGACGAAGTCAAGTGCGACAAGACAAGAAAGTGCCCCAAGTGCGGCGTCTTCCGCATCCAGGTCCTGCCGTCGCCCGACGCCGAGCCAAGTCCCGACGACGTCGACATGGAAACATGATCCGACACGAAGACCGATCACGAAGAAGATACATAGTCGATTCGATCGACTGCTTTTAGTACATAGTAGCAACCCACCTAGAATACCTTAATAAAACGCGCTCAACCTGCGATAGGAAGGACGTGCGCCACACACTTTGCAGGCCATGCCTGACCATCCCGAGCGGCCGATCGTCGTATGGTACGGCCTTGGATGGGAGGAAGCGAGCCGTCTGCGCAGTACGCCCGTGTCCTATCCTCGTCTCGACACTGCTGTTTCGTCGCGCCACGATCCCTAGAGGCGGGTGCATTGGGCTACTCGTCGTCCGACGTTTGTGGGTTTGGGTGTCAAGATGCACAAGAAAAGTATCGATTAGTAGGAAGTGTAAACGACTTAGTAGACGCGGGCGACCGGGGCGACCGTCTTGCACTCTTCCTCATCGAGCGTGTGGTAGTGCACCGGCCGGTACGCAATGTGCGTCGTGCCTTCCTCCGTGTTGTGGTACGCGAGCGTGTGCTTCATCCAGTTGACGTCGTCGCGCGTCGAGAAGTCCTCGCGGGCGTGGGCGCCGCGCGACTCCTTGCGGGCCTCGGCACCGTGCATGGTGGCCGACGCGCACGCGAGCAAGTTCTTGAGCTCAATCGTCTCGATGAGATCCGTGTTCCAGATGAGCGAGCGGTCCGTGACCTTGATGTCCTTGAACTTGGGCACGATCTTGTCGATCTTCTCGACACCCTCCGCGAGCGTCTCTTGCGTGCGGTAGACAGCAGCGTCGTTCTGCATCGTCTTCTGCATCTCGAGGCGGAGGTCGGCCGTCGGGATCGCGCCGTTGGCGTAGCGGAGCGAGTCGACCATCGAGAGCGAGGCGTCGCCAGCGTTCGACGGCATCGGGCGCTTGGCCTCACCGGGCTTCGAGATCTCGGCAATGCGAAGGGCGCAGGCGCGGCCAAACACGACGATATCGAGGAGCGAGTTGGCACCGAGGCGGTTGGCACCGTGGACCGACGCGCAGGCGGCTTCGCCGGCGGCAAAGAGACCCTTGACGACCTTGTCGGGGTACATCTGGTTGGCGTCCGGAAGGCCCGTCGTGTCCGGGACGACGACTTCACCAAAGTGGTTGGTCGGGATACCGCCCATGTTGTAGTGCACCGTCGGAAGGACCGGGATCGGCTCCTTCGTGACGTCGACGCCGGCGAAGATGGCCGCCGTCTCCGAGATACCAGGAAGACGCTCGGCGAGGAGCTCAGCCGGAAGGTGGTCAAGGTGGAGGTAGATGTGGTCCTTCTCCTTGCCGACACCACGGCCTTCGCGAATCTCCATCGTCATGGCACGCGAGACGACATCACGCGAGGCCAAGTCCTTGGCGCTCGGAGCGTAACGCTCCATGAAGCGCTCACCCTCCGAGTTGCGGAGGATACCGCCCTCACCACGCGAGCCCTCCGTGATCAAGCAGCCAGCGCCGTAGATACCCGTGGGGTGGAACTGGACAAACTCGGGGTCCTGGAGCGGGATACCGGCGCGGATCGCCATACCGGTACCATCACCCGTGCACGTGTGCGCCGACGTGCACGAGAAGTACGCACGACCGTAACCACCCGTGGCCAGCACCTATATCCAACTTGATGAGCACTCGAGTCAGGTGTGGTCGACGCTACATACCGTGTTGTTGGTGTGGAAGCGGTGGATGCTGCCGTCTTCCATGTTCATGGCAATGACACCGCAGCACTCGCCGGCGTCGTTCATGATGAGGTCCAAGGCGAAGTACTCAATGAAGTACGACGTATCGAACGCCAACGAGCGGCCGTAGAGCGTGTGCAACATGGCGTGGCCGGTACGATCGGCGGCGCACGCGCAACGGTAGGCCTGGCCACCCTTGCCGAAGTCGAGCGACTGACCGCCGAAGGCGCGCTGGTAGATCTTGCCGTCGTCCGTGCGCGAGAACGGGAGACCGTAGGCCTCGAGTTCGAGGACAGCACGGGGCGCTTCCTTGCACATGTAGTGGATAGCATCCTGGTCACCGAGCCAATCCGAGCCCTTGACCGTGTCGTACATGTGCCACCGCCAGTCGTCTTCCGTCATGTTGGCGAGCGCAGCGTTGATGCCACCCTGCGCAGCGACCGTATGCGAGCGGGTCGGGAAGAGCTTGGTGATGCACGCCGTCTTGAGGCCAGCTTCGGCGCAGCCCATGGCCGCGCGGAGGCCGGCGCCACCCGCGCCGACGACGACCGCGTCGAACTCGTGGTCGACGATGGTGTAGCCGCCCTTCGTGGAGGCGGCGCGGGCGCCAGTGGTCTTCAGGGCGCGCGAGATCGCGGCCTTGGCCTTGGAAGTGGCTTGCAACATGAGCTACGACTGGAAAATACCAACTGACGCCTGCCGGGATTTGTGTGGTGGTCGGCCTTTTTTCAATGGGCCGCCGCATTATTATTCCAATACTTTTTCTCACATACTAATATCATGTATATCATGCAGATAACATTTTATTTTTCTAGATTGCTGAAAAACAGAATAATATGACATTGGGGTGGCGTCGAATAAAAATATGCACCCAATCAAACGGCCTTGGACATCCTTTTACTTAGTCTTTGTATGCTCACCCAATTAAAAGACGTGTAATAGGTCATTAAAATATCTTCAAGCGCCAATTTAATGGCAACGAATGCCAAGGAATGTCGAGTGCCGCCGCCCCGCAGTAGCTGCGCGCGCCGGAATTAACGATCGCGTACGACGAATTCGCTCGGTAATTCGTACCTCGCTATCGCACGGAGCCATCGCACGGAAGCGCCCACGTCGGCGATGAAGCCGTTGAAGCCAATGGCAACGCGGCCATGATCGTACGCTCGCGGTACCTACATTGGCTGCGGCGTTGACCATGCCTTCAACACGCCAAATGATGATATCCAAAGAGTGTCGAGCCATAGCCACGTCATCGTCCGTCGTGGGCGGAATGCATGGAGGTGACGACGGCAGCGATGAGGCCGGTCGTGGGCCGGCCCGATGTTCCATCGCATATGGACTTCGGTGGCGATCATCACCGCCACGAAAGCACACGAAGTCCATGCGTTATCCTTGCCTCTGTCCCAGGACCGCTCGAGACAGACGAAACAGAAGAGCTCGTGGGGCATTAGGTCGAGCTAGTCCTCGCGCAGTGACATAATATAGTTGTGCATGCAGCACCGAAATACACGTGACACTCGACAACTAGTCAGACACCACCGCCCTCTCGTCGTTCGCAAACCTGGGCCGCTGTACAACGGGAATGCGGCGACAATGGAAGCTGCGTGGGCAAAGCACGTTGAGAACAAGAGATGTAGGTGCTTGCGCATTCCACTCTTCAAGCCGGCTGTATGCAGCGAATGAGCACCTCCATGTGAGCAGTCGCTTGGGGCGTCGATGGAGCGGTGAGCGCCATGGGTGGGCGCATTTGTCAGAGCAGAATGCAGCCTCGTGTCGACTTTGCCTTGGCGAGGTTGCACTTTCCTCGTTGTCTGCATTTAGTCGCTGGCGTTTCCGTCGTGGCACTGAAATAGACCCCGTCGCCAGCACTGGCACACCGACGATGGACGCCGACGCGCCCACGGAGGCGCCGGACGAGCGCAAGCCATTCTGCCTCGAGACTAGCGACGACGTGGCCATGGAGATGCTCGCCGACGTCATCGACCACGTCGGCGTCATCTCGCAAACAACGGCACTCACCGCCGCAGTTGTACGTGGCATCGTAGTACTCGGACGCTTGCGCTCACGTGGGCTGTGGTAATTGTAGCTGCGCAGTGTGAGCCAGCGCCTTGTGCAAGAGGTGTTTGACATCCAAGCCATGATCACCATCGCCAGCTCGGCGAGCTTTGACGCGTGTGCTGACGTCCCCGTGTCCACGGTCGTCCACGCAGCGACAGATACCGCGCCATTGGTCCACGCCATTCAGCGAACGCTCTCCTACTGCCAGCAAAACCCGACCAGTGTCCGGAAGATTGTTGCCACCGTGAGCATCGACGGCGACGGGCACGTCTGCGGCGACGTCGAGTTTGCCTCCGTGCTAGGGTCGCTCCCACTTTTCTTGTCCCCAGCCGAGGTGCCGTCTCCTCCTTCAACAAGCGCTTGAGGCGACACCCTAGGTGACCTTCATGGCCGCGCACGCCCACGGCCAATCGATCACGGCGCCAGAACTGACCAAGGTGTGCGCAAAAGCACTCAAGGCCGCCGAGAAACAGGTCAAAAGCGCGGTGCGCACGAGCAGCTTTGTGCCAACTGTCGCTTTTGCGTGCCCAATGGAACCGAAGAGCTACCCCATGGACGTACACACGCCGCACGAGGTACCCGCGCGGCCGCAGCCGCCACCCGTGTCACCCGATAACAACAAACAGTCGACAGTCCGCGGCACGTTTGTTGGTCGTGGCGGACGCATCACGATCGCAGCAGGGATCGTCTCCAACAAGCTGAATTTGGAGGACGTCGAGATCAAGCTCGACGCGACGCGGGACGACCGCGCCTCTGACAGCACGACGTTTTCCAACATCTTTTCGCTCGGCACGCCGCGGCAGCTGTCGCCCCGAGAGCTCGCCCGCCGACGGGACATTCTCGCGTACCTCGAAGCCGTTGAAGCGACGCGCCAGCACGACGAGCTCGTGGCCAAACGCAAGAAGGAGCTCCTTGAACGACCGCACCACGACGGTGACGGCGGCCACATCTCGGCGGCAGCCCCGCCATTGCGCAATTTGCCGCTGCATTTGACATTGGACCTTCCGTACAACATTGCAACCCCAGAAGCCGCGCCGCCCGAGGTCCACCGGTCGCCGTCGATCAAACCGTCGCCAAAGCACCGGCGTCCGTCGCAGGTGCCCACCGTCGCAGAGGTATCTCGACTTGCCGTTGTTGCTGCATCGTCTGAAGACGCGGGTTGCGTAGCCGTCGGTCGAGAAGCCAGCACCGGGCGAGCCTCTGCCGCTCTTTCACTTGCCACAGATCGAAACGGGGCGGATCGAAGTCGGCGTCAAGGTCGTGTACCCAGGAAAGAAAGTCAAGCACGGCAGCAAGCGAATACCGAGTCGCAACTCGCGCCTGAAAGCCCACAACTACAACGTAAGGCATGTGGTGCACATGTGGAAAGCACGCGCCGGCGTAGACAACCACGGACGGTAGCGCGCCAACCCTGCAAGAAGAGCCTTCCACGTACGTCAACGACTATGCTGGTAGCCAAAGGATGTCCGTGCCGGTGCGTAGACCCACCGAGTCGACATCGTTGCCACCCTTGCCGCTTTCTCCCCTCAAGCCATTGGTGCGAGTGCTTACTGAACTTGGCGTCACAGAAACGTAGAAACCACTCGGGTCTCCGTCGCCGCCCGTGACTCTCCCGATCGCCTCCACGAGTCCCATCAAAGTCAACCAAGTGGTGCGCTTCCGCATATGTCACGGTCACTCGGCACTGATAAAGCGATCAGAGGAAACAAGCGGGCGCGCGTGTTCGCGGGAAGCCTCCGGCGCGCACCCGCTTCAATTTTTCCGAGGCCATCGCCCGCACGCTGCAGGTACAGATAGCTCTTGTCACGTGGCGTGACCAAAAATGGGGTGTCGGTAGCTCTCCGAGTCCGACCTCGAAGCAACTTAACGTTCTCGCAACGTGTATTCCTTTCCGGCCTCTTTGTTTCCTACTCGAGCTGCATGTGCGGCGTTGGAACAGTCATGCAGCGTGGAGAAAAGAGCTAGGCACGCGCCCTTCCATCACATCAACTCGACTGGAGGGTCGTGAGTGCTACAAGCCGTAAACCCTACTACCCTTCGTCGAACGCGCGGTCAGAACAATCTAAATCGTTGGTATATACACGTAAATTTATATTTCAAATGCAAAGTCTAGTTGGTCACGCGCGCAGATAAGCGTCGACGTGCGTGGCGGCCTCGTACCCCGTGTACATGACAAAGCCATACGGGTTGACGTTGCCGCTCTTGACGACGCTGCCGTCGCCCACAAACACGTTGGATGTGCCGAGCACGCGGAAGGTCTCGTCCGCACACCGGTCGTTGCTGCGGTTGGACGCAACGATGCAAGCGCCGCCAAAGTGATCTGTGATAAGCGTGTGCTGCACAATCCACGACGTTCGATTGGTCGCCCACGTCGCCCACTGCAGCGCCTACATACACGACGTGACTCTTCCGCCAGCACCAACTCTGGGATACCGAAGGCGCTGGAAAGACGGGGACGGTCGCCTGCTTGGAGTATGCCGCAATCTGGTCGATGGTGCTCTGGATGAACGTTGCCATCATGCGCGCGTCGGCCGGGTGCGACCAGTAGAGGTGCCCCGCCATCGCTCCCGAGTAACTTCCGTTGGGAAAGAACCCCGCGCGGTCCCGCGAGAGCGGGTTGTTGAGCGTAAAGCAAATGGTCCAGTCCATTTCCTGGTCGTTCGCGGGCGGCGATAACTCCAGGTTGGGCATAACGTGCGGGAAGACCGAGAGCTGAAACTGGAAGCTGTGGCCCGAGAAGGCATCGGCGACCGTCTCGTACGCAATGAGCACAGGGTTGGCGCTCGCCATGGGGCCCGACCGCGTCTTTACAAACTGGTCCAAAACGGAGGGCGACGGGCGCATGTAGTCAAAGCCAAAGCCCGAGCTATTCGAGACGTTGGCTGTGCGGAACGTCAGAGCCACTTGGTGCGCGTCAAAGATGTGGGCGCCCACGTTCTCGTTCTGCAGCCACGCGTCCGCTCGAAGCGGCGACGGCAGCGGACGCTTCGTGACCTATGTTTGCTGCGTCACCCTCTCATTCACAGGAACGAAAATGCGCACGAGGTCGCGTTGGCTGAGGGGGCCGATGCCCGATTGCAGGAGCAAACGCGGCGACAAGAGCGCGCCCGTGGCCACGAGGACGGCGCCGCGAGCACTGAGGATGGCTTCATGCATCACCTACCCATAGATTACAAATGGTATTTTGCAGCCGAAAGATCGTGTACGGATGCCGCATTGGCAGCGTCTTCCTTGTAGAGCACGTGGGTGGCCTTGCCGTTGGCATGCACGATTTGCTCGACGCGTGCGCCAAGTCGCAGCGCAAAGTTTGGTCGGTGGGCCATCGCTCCGAGAAAGGTCTTGGCGGGCGAGTCCCGCAGTCTACGTACTTTGTTAGGAGCCCAAACTCAGCGAGCGAGACGGACCCGTCCTTGACCGTAAAGGGAGGATGTCCAAAGACGCGGTGCTTTGCATTCGTGTCATGGTTCAGATCGTGCTCCGAATAGTTGGCCAGCTGCAAGGCCGACGCGAGCGTGTTGTAGACGCCTTGGGCGTACCGGCGTCCGTCCATTGACGGCGTGTCTGTCCATCCAAAGAAGCGCTCGATCGCTGCAAAGCTAGCTCATCGTTGAACCGTGGAAAGGATACGGGGAGGAAGTATAATACCCGTTGCGGACGGTCGTCGCCGACACGGGCCAGTCGATCTCGTCGACGTAGTTGTCGGGTGTGCGAAAGTACAACGCTGCGTTGATGGACGACGAGCCGCCAAGGATCTTGGCTAGGTGGTTCTGCGGCGAGGACAGCTCGTCGATGCGCCAGACGTCGGTCACCGACTTTGGCAAGCCGAACGCTACATGCGCGTACTCGCCTACGTGTAGCTGAGCACCAATGTAATTCGCACGCAAAAGACGGGTCGACGCACCGGGGATGTCAAAGAGCGTCCAGCCCGTCGAAGCAGCGTACTCGGGCACCATGGTACCCCCTGTGCACTACCGCACCATCACGCTGAGCCATGCATTAAGAGAAGTAGTGGATACCTGGAGGCTGGGACCGCCGGCTTCAAGGAGCAGCACTGAGATGCTAGGGTCGCGTGACAAGTACTCGGCGGCGACGAGGCCGGCGGGCCCGCCACCAACGACGACGACGTCCCAGGCCGCTGGCGTCGGCGCGAGGCTCCATGCGACCAGCGCGCCCGCAGCTGTGAGCGCGACGAGGCCGGTGGCGGCGACCGCGAGCCGCTGGCGCTGGCTGCGCGTGGTGTCGACGGCGTCCGGCGCGTTGAGGGCGATGCTGCCGTAGCTCGTCATCGACGGTTGAATTCTGCGAGTGTGACATGGGTTCGTTTGTTCAGGGAAAGATCTCGGAACCGCCATACGATTGGATAAAATACCTTCCTATCGTCCAATCAAAAAGCGAATCTCGCGCAAAAAACGGCAATTGGCTGCAAGCAGCGCTGATATTCAAGTTGAAGCTCGTGCCGTCTGCGTGAAGCGGTCGCCTGTCTCGTTTACGGCGAGCACCAACCGACGAGGACCGTCGCGCGACGGCAAGGACCACGCTTGGTGCTAGCTGCTCTCGCAATGTAGCCCTTGTCTGGTGTGTGTCGACGTCACCTTTGAAGCAGCCACGCGGTCGCTTGCGTCACCTGTGTCGTCGCGTCCCCTTGCAACGGGCCAGATATTGCCGCCCTTCTCTTGGTAGCTACGACGGCATCTGGCCACACGGCCTGTCCGACCACCGCTGGCCTTGCCTGGCTTGGAGTCTTGGGTGACCACATATTACGATCGTGGGCGTGTAGTCGTGGACATCTACAGTACATATCGTCAAGTAGCCATGCTTCTCCAACGGCTTCTAGGAGGCGCGGCAAGTAATCGACGCCCGATCAGCGGATTGTGTTATATGATCACGATGAGTCATTCCTGAGTACAGTCTTGGCACCCAAGTCGTATTCTTTTTTTGTGGAGGAATTTCTCATGATAAATGAAAGTACCCCGGATACCGCGTACTGGCACCAGAGTTGGTGTGGACTGCGACTTTTAATTGGGAATGGCAGGGATCCCGCAACGAGGTTCCGGTGTTTTGGCGAACGGGGGTTGTCGAGACCAGGGCTGCCTGATCAACGCGGAGCTCCAGCGGTTTTATTTGCTGTCGTCGACTAACGTTACTAGAAGACCTAGCTGCCTGAATTCGCCACCATTGAGGTGATAGCTGATGATATCAGCGTACTTCGGACGCAACCATGGCGCGTCCACGGCTGCTTTCGAAAGCATAAGAATCAGCCGTGATACTCGAACGTATTCAAAGGCGGTGACAATGGACAAAATGAACAAGGACGCCAATGCAAATGAGCTGAATTTGGCCGAACATAGAGCCAAAACGGTGGGAACCAGTGTATCTGACCATTTCACTTCTCCTGGACGCCCGGGGTACCTCTTTGCGAGCACCAAATGTTGACAACCAGCTCGCACTGTCCGTTCCGTTCTGTCAGCTCCCATCGCGCCCTCTTTTGTCCAAGTACTACAATTGCATTGAGTTATGGACCAAATCTCTCGAGGTTGGCTTCGCGCACAATTTCGAGCTGTACTGGTAACGTTAACGTTAGAATGGTCAAACGTTGTCCATGCGCATCGTGTGCGACATGCGGTACACAATCGAGGTCGTCTCGAGCGTCTCGTTGACCAATGCGAGGTCCGCGTCCGGCTTGGGCGTTTGCTTGTCGAGCTCGTTGAGCATCGTGCGGCCAAAGATCGAGTAGATGTCTTCCATTTCGGCCTTCTCGATGAACGCCGCGACCTCCGGGATCGAAATGGTCGCGCCTTCAGCCGGCGTGACGCCCAGCGCCAAGAGGATTTCGTCGGCAAAGTGCTGCGCCATGTCCTGCACGTTCTTGTCGTCGGACGAAACCATGAGGCCCGATATGAAGAACGCCATGAGTTCGTCGCGACTGAGCTTTTCGTCGCCGTTTAGATCGTAAACTTCAAACAAAAACACGATCCGCGCGCGCAAGTCGCCCTTCTCGAGCGCTGACATGGCGCGAATGAACTCGCGCCACTCGATGACGCCCGAGTAATCGTCATCCAAGATGGCAAAGACGCGGTCCACAAACATCTCGTCCTCCACGGACAGCAGCGGCACGGCGCGCCGAAACGTGGCTTGGTCGACGCCGGCGGGCGACCGCGAGAGCGAACAGAGCGCCTTGAAGCGGCTCCAGAGCGTATAGAGCTCGAGCCGCGTGAATCCCGTTTTGGCCATGAGCTCCTCGAGGTTGTAGTCGCTCAGGTGGCCGTGGTACGCGGTCACGGCCCGCGGCGAGTGGCACACGCGCAAGTCAAACTCGGAAATGTCGTGGAGCTGCAGTAGTCGGTCCCGCGGGTCGATCGGGTTGATTGGCAGCGGGCACGACAACTGCGGCTGTCGCGTTGACTTGACATGTCGTCTTCGCCGCGGTCGTTGCCGTTCCGTGTCGTTGTTACTATGCGCCGCGTCGTTGTGCGTGCAGACGCTCTCTGGAGCTTGCAATGCATTCGCGCGGTACGTCACGTGATAGTGCTGCCTTCGAGGACTGGTGTTGATGCCGTGACTCTCTTGAGTTGGCATCGGTGCTCGTGGCTCAGCCTGCACGGAAGCTCGCGGTGATGCGACGACGGGTGCCACAAAGCGTGGGGATGGACGAGGCGACGGCTCCAGGGCGGAGGGCGGCAAAGCAAAAGCAAACGAAGCAGGTCGGCGTCGCTCCATCTCGAGTCGAGCTTTCTGCAATGTATAGAGCGTCGAGCGGCCCGTTGCACTGACATCTAGACCGCCGGTGAATAGTGCCTTCTCTATCGTACAAGGCGTACCAAGGGCGTCGCGGCGAACGCGGAAGACGCTAAGATCGCTCATGCGCGGAACGTCGGCGATATGCAAGCTGCGCAAGCGAGCGACTTCGTTGTCGATATGAGCGTCCGTGTGCGCAAGCGATGGCGCGCGAGATTCCAGAGCTTTGGGGGCAGGTGCGAGGCATGGGAGCATGTTCCGCCACCCAGAAAACAAGTGTAACCGATACCGTTGACCTCGTATTTCTTGACTTGGAAGCCAAGAGACAACTGCAATCATCATTCGTGCGTTGAGCTCGGGATGGAGCCTTGTTGTCGCCGAGCACGCTGCGCGCATGAACCCCACGTTTCATCGAGTCGCTGAGTACTGGTGACTTTTGCTTGTCACTATTGCAGCCACATGCACTGCACGTTTGTCGGGTTGTCGGTAACGTGCAGTCACGGCCGAAGCTTTGTATCGTCGAAGGTATGAAATGCGTGCTCGGGCACGAGACTACTTGGGGGAGAGGTCGCACGAAGGCGTCGAGCGTCTTGGTAGCTCCAACTTCACGATGGAAGAATGTAACTACACAAGCGACGGACAACATAGGATTGCTATCATCAATGCATTCGACGGTGGTGAGGAAACGGTCGCCTATGAATAGGCGGCTACTGCGGGGCCATGGACAAGTCGAGCCCCGAGTACAAGGAGGCGCTGCACGAACATGCGCGGACGCTGGGACTCGACCCGATCCAAGAAGCACAATATCTCTGGATCGTGGAGGAGGCGCTAACAGCGCCGCTACCTGACGACTGGGAGCAAGGTTTTTCTGTGGTTGTGGCGATGGACTTCGTTCAAGTCTGTCGTAGGCGAGACGGACGATGGCACGATCTACTACTTCAACGTCAACAGTGAAGAGAGCATTTGGGAGCACCCGATGGACGGCCACTACAAGGAGATGATTGCGAAGAAGAAGGAAGAGGACGCCAAGAAGCTCGCATTCAATAGCGCGCCCAAGAAGGATCTCGGCCGGCGCCAGACGTCGGTGCATGAATTCGACATGGTCGACACGATCGAAGACATCACTTCCAACAAGCCAGCGCCGGTCACGAGCGCCGGATCGGCCTTTGGGAAAGACTCGAAGGCGTGGCTTCTCGACGACGAAGACGACTTTGATGTGGTATGTACATCTGCCTGTCAACGAGTGTTTATATCGCATTAGCCGTCGCCAACGCCGATGCCCAAAAGTTTTAGCATCGTGTCATCCATCAAAAAGACAGAGGAGCACACGGTAGTGTCGAAAGCGGTGCCGACGCCGACGCCACTGCTCTCGACGCCCATGGCACCGACAGTGACAACGACGGCAACGACAGCGATCAAGACAATGGGCAGCACCGTACCTACGAGTACCAACAAGGAGGCCGAGAAACAGATCGAAACCCTTCGCGCCGAGATCGCCCAGCTCAAAAAGAGCCATGAGACGGCTGAGAAGCAAGCCAAGACCACGCGTGACAAACTCAACCAAGAGAACGAGACGCTGCGTCGGGGAAAGGAGGCCGCCGAGACGGAAGCAAAAGAAGCCAACTACCTGCGCATGAAGATCAACGAGCTCAAAACCAAGGTCGCAGCGCTCGAGGCGCAGACAACAAAGGGCGATCCGGACGCGTCCCGTGCCCTCGACGGGCTTCGCGCTGACGTGGACGCCAAGACCAAAGAAATAGCCGAGGCGCAAGCGCAGCTCGAAACAGCCAAAGACGAGCACAGTCGCGCCATCCAAAAGCGCGAGGACTCGCTCGCAGCGCTCAAGAAGGAGCATGCAATCGAAGTATTGGCGTGCTTTGCATAAAGCAAGATTCAACCGAACGGTTAGGTGGAAGCGCTGCAGGAGCAGCTCTTGCTGCGCCAAGCAACCAACATTACACTCCAGCACTCGACTGGCGAGCTTGAGAAGCTCAAGAAGCGCATTTCGGAGCTCGAAGACGACGCCCTCAAAACAGCCAAGGATCACGCCAAAGTTGTCGAGGACCTCGTATGCGAACATTCTGTTGCAACGCCATCGCTCATGCTAAGGTGTAGAATGCTGTCCACGCCGAGACTATAGCAGCACTGGCGCTTGCACAAAAGAAATGCAGCGAAGCGGACGCCGCACAAGCCTCGCAGCGCGACCAGCTCGACGCACAAACGAGTCAGCTCGAGGCCAAGCTCAAGCTCCAGGCGAAAGCGACCGATGACATGTCGCAGCAGCTGCAAGACGTGGAGCGTCAGCTTCAAGACACCAAGGACAAATGGCGCACTGCCACTGCGCACGGCGACGAGCTGGTGATGGCAACTTCCAGGCTTGAAAAGCTGATTGTCACGGTCTGCAACAGGCTCTACATGTGCGCCGACTCGAAGACAAGGAACGCTCGGCAACAATGGCGTTCGCGGACGAAAAGCGGCTTTTGGAACAGAGTGTGAAATCCTGGTACAAACAGGATGCAAGATGTGCGTGCGACATAATATGTGTAGGCAAGACCGACTGCAAGCCGTCCAGCGCGATTTGGAGACGCTTGGGGTCGCTGCAAAAGCAGAGAAGGAGGCCCACGCCCATGCGCTCTCGGTCGCCAACGACGCTCTCAACGAGGTGCGTGCCCTTGTTTGGTCGCGGCTTAAGCATGCCTCTTGTGCCTAGATGCGGCGCGAGAAGGAGCGCGCCCTGGGCCAGTTTGGCGAAGTCCAAGCATTAAAGAAGGACAACGAAAGCCTCAATCTGGACCTGGGCCGTGTTCGGGATCAAAAAGCAAATTTGGAGTTTGAGCTTCGGAACCTGAAGCAAGCGCAGTCGGTGGACACTTCGCAGCTCATGCAATACAAAGGTTGCACTGCCTACACCTCCAGAGACTGGTGACTCATGGCATGCTCTAGTGCAAATCGAGGAGTACGCGCGCAAGGAGTTTATGGAAAAGCAGCGGTTCGAGATGCTCGCGGGTGAAAAAGTCAGCATTGAAAAAAAAATTGGAGCCATGGACGCCCAGATTCAGACGCTTCGAGCCGAGGTACAGTCGATCGATGCATTGTCCGATTTCAAAATACTGGCGTAGCACCGGACCGACCTCGACAAGTATTTATACCGCATCCGAGAGCTTGAGAGCCAAAATGCACGGTAGGCATTCCATATGCACCTTTCTTGTACTGTGTCCCGTGACAATATTGTCTTTGGCCTTGTATTCGATGATGATCAACCATTGGTAGGCTCGAATATGACATTTCGCGCGCCGAAGAAAAGTTTTCGACAGCGGAAAAGTGGCGCCTCAAAGAAGTGAGCCGCGTCGAGCAGCGGGACACGGAGCTCTTGGAAATGTACGAATGTATGTGTTTTGGATATACTCATCGATACCTTGTTTAGTAAGGAAGAGCTTGGTCGTGCGAAGGCCCGCAACATTGAAGGCGAGAACCACCATTTGATCAACGAACTTCGGGGCCAAACCAAGCTGCTCGAGCAAAAGATTATCGAGCTTGAGCGGGCGCTGGCCAACGAAGTGTCGGTCAAAACCCAGGCCGAGCGTCTCTGGGCCGCGGAAGCGGACAACGCCAAGAAGCAGTGGACGGCACAGATCCCGCAGCTTGCTGCCGCCGCCACGCAGCGGTACACTATGATGCTGTTTTGCGTTGCATTCTTACAGCTGTGGAGCTAGCGCGAGCGACGAGTGGAAGAAGCGGTGCGACGACATGGTCGAGAAGATCAAGGCCGAGTACCAAGACAGCTGGCTACAAGAGCGCCAGCAAACAACGACGCGGGAAGCGCATTGGCACGAAGCGAAGCGCGACCTCGAGCGCCAGATACAAACGTTTGCGTCCGAGAAGGACTTTCTCACCAAGGAAATCTCGCGTCTCGAAGACAACAACAAACACCTCATGGTATATTCGTGGGAGGAATCAACCGACACTTGCGCACAATGAAGGACCTAGGAACAGCTGCATACGATTCGAGTCTACCTGACGCAGCGACCGCTGCACGGAACGTTCCCACCGCCTCCGCAGGTCGTATCGCCGGCACCCACCAATGTGGCGACGGATCCGCAGCTCTCATCACACCTGCAACACCAGCTTGGCGTCCTTCACGCCCAGTTCCAACAGCTTTTTGAAGCGTCGACGACACCGCCGCCGGCTCCACGATCCAGTTACGTGAGCGACTACAAGCCTGCACCAGAGACCCCGCTGCCAGAGACAGCACCCTCTGGCGCTCACCTCCTCGAAGAGAAGCAGCGACTCATACGGTCCATGGAAGACGTGGGCTTGCAACGATCATCGAGTGAGTGGATACCGGTGATCGACACGGCCGACCAGCGCAGCCTGTGGTATCGGCAAGGCTATTGGAGGTCAAAATACACCTAATACACGACTCCACATCTTTGTACCACCACCTACTACCGACAACTTCGACTAGGTCATGACCATCTCAACGGACTCGGGTCAAAGCAATGTGCAGCTCGTTGTAGGAGTAGATAATTGAGGTTGGTGGTGAGTGCCAGCGCCCGAGTCGTGCTATCGCTATCGTTGGTTGCTCTCTCGGTAGTACGCATAGCGTAGACGAGCTCCTGTCGTCGCATTGCTGAAACTCAAGTTGAAGAGCCCATGACACCGCCGATTCCACCGCGACGGTTCGACCATCCGGATACGGGTTGCAACGTATCCGTACGTCTTCGACGCTGCCACAACCACAACGACGATGGACGAGGAGGAGTGGTCGAAGGAGCTGGAAGCGAACCGGAAGCCGGGGCAGAAGCACCCGACGCCGTCGCCGGGCTTTGCGGACCGCGTCTTCTACGAGAGCCTCCTGCGCCAGAACCCCGAGAGTAAGATGGCCAAGAAGTGGTGCATCGAGTACGGTGTGCTCGAGGCCGACGAAGCGGCCGCGCTCTGCAAGGCCATGGGCATCGCGTTCAAAGCGCCCAAGGAGCTCAAGAAGACGAGCGCCAAGTCGTCGTCGTCCAAGAAGAAGTCGAACGTCCTTGACGACGCCGTTGACGACATTGGTCTGCACGCAGGCAGCCACATGGAAGGCGTGGGCATCGGCAACATCTAAGGCCACGCTCTCTTGTAATACATATCCTATATACCTCATCTTGGGCTCTTGCGCTTCCGACCAAGTTCAAGCGAGCGCTGCTGGTTCAACCTTCGATGGCCAGTGCCCCTCCTGCCTTGGCGCCAGCAAAGGCTTCTCGTTTCCTTTGGTGCAAGTCCTCCGAGCCATTCGAAGCCACCGCAACAACGTCACGTACAGTGTAGATATACCAGCTACAGCTGTAGTAGCATGCGCAGGACACACTAGAGTCTGTCGTGGAGGGCCTTCATACAGTAGCACCAGCCAGATGCAGCTCGTTGTATCGCCCAGAGTCGTTTGGTCTAGTCGACTATTGTCTTGTTACATATCCTTAACATCTACCGTGCGACCACGTCTACTCGCGAACGAACGTGACCTTGTCCTGGATGGGGCGGCGGGCGCCCTTGGGGTGGACGAAGCCCGGCTTGGGGTACCCGACATAGAAAAGGCCGAGGCAAATGTCTTCGGCGCCAAGGCCAAGGAAGGCCTTCATTTCGTCGTCGAACGAGCCACCCGAGCTCCAGTAGCCACCGACACCGTGGGCCGTCGCCGACAAGTGCAAGTTCTGGACGGCGCACGCAACAGCCTCGATCTCTTCAATCTCCGGGATCTTTTTGCTCTCCTGGCGCTTCATGACGATCGCAATCACATACGACGAGTCGAGCTTGCTCTGGAGCTTGTTGGTAAATTTCTTGGGAAAGAACTTGTCTTCGGGCGTCTTGGCCTTGTAGATGGCCGCGTCCTTCTCGCCGAGGCGACGACGGGCGTCGCCAGCAAACACGACAAAGCGCCACGGCTCAGTCTTGCCATGCGTCGGCGCCCAGTTGGCGCTCTCAAGCATCTTCATCAAGACGCTCTCGGGCACAACGCGCGACGTGTCATAGTCCCGCGGGAAGATCGAACGGCGCTTGGCAATGAGCTCGTCAGCGTCGTAGAGGTTGCGCTGCTTCTTGACGTACTTCCAGAGCGCAACGGCGGCGCCCGTGCCCACGGCCGTGAGGAGCGAGACGCCGATGCTGAGGCCGATGCCCGCCAGGGCGCCGTCGCGGACACCACGCTCGTACGGCGTCGGCGTGCTCAGGTCGCGGCTCATCGTGCGGTTGGCCATCACGTGTGAAATTCGAAAATGATTCAAGATCGCTACGAGCAATCCGCCGCTTTGGATTGGATAAAAATATTGCGATTTTTTAATTGGCCAACTCGAGCGTGCACCCGCCCTGTGATTGGTGGGTGGCAGGCGCCTCTCGTCAGTCCAACCACAGGACTAATGAGGAAGGGACGTCCCTTGCTTCCGAGGCGGCTGGAGTAATCCTGCACCTGCACCTCCATCGTGCAACGAGGTACAAGGTCAATACAGCACTCTATTCAGTCGTCATCTCCTTGCCCTTATGGCCCGGCATCTTGCTCTTCCAGTGGGAAGGCTTGAGCTTCTTCTTGCGCAGCTCGCCGTCGTCCGAGTCGCCATCTTCCTCGTCCACATCGCCTAGCAGACATACGATGGGCTTGGAGACCGATGAGCATGGTAGTCGTACCAAGGACGGTCGTCTCAGCGATTGTAGCGAACGCATCGACACCAGCAATCGACTTGAGCGCGGGCGACTCGCCGGCAATGTCAAACTGCTGCAAAAACGGCGCCGCCTTGTAGCCGACGAGCACATGGCCGCTCTCGTTGAAGACGACGTTCGTGGGCTGGCTCGCTCTATGTGCCGCATGAGACTCGAAGAAATACGGCAGCAAAAGAAAGCTTACTCGGGAAGCGTCAACGGCAACGCAATGATCTTCTTGTCCGCGTTGATGCTAAAGAAGCGCACGGCCATGTCGGTGTTGCGGACGAGCGCGATGCGGTTCGTGAGCGGGCACACCGAGAGACCGCAGTGCTTCGTGTCGGACGTCTCGAGCGCAAAGGCATCGAGGAGCGCACCCGTCTCAATGTCCCAGAGGTGCAGCGCGTCATCGAGGCCGACCGAGACCTACAGAGGTATGCCACTTGTTGCAGCTACATCCATATCCATGAAAGCACGTACAAAGAGCGACGGCGTCACGGTGCACGTCGCAATCTTGCGCACGCATTGGCGGTGGCCCAAGCAGTAGTTCTGCACGAGCGTCGTCGCCGGAAAGTGCGAGACGCGGACCTTCTCGTCGCGGTCCGCCGTGAGGAGGTACTTGCCGTCGATGCTCATCGCGACGTCCGTGATGATCGACGTCGTGTGCTGAAGAAGGCTCTTCTCGCCTGCCGTGACGTCCGGCAGCGGGTACGCGTTGACCTCGCCGGCGTTGCCGCCCACAAGGACAGCTTCCTTGCCGCCGTATGTCGCCGCGACCATGCTCGTCGTGTTACGCGGCACTTCGCGCGTCGATACAACTTCGCCGCGCGTCGAGTTCATCTCGTACACCGTGAGCTTCTTGTCCTGCGTGACGACAGAGAGCAGCGTCGCCTCGGCGTTCAAGGCGATGGCCACGACCTGCGACGTCGTCGAGAGAAGGAAGGACGACGCACCGCTACAGAGACGAAAGCGCCATGAGTGTCATGCGATGGCCCGGTAGATGAGGAACGTACTTGTAGATGAAGATGGCTTGGCCATACGCGCAAGCGATGAGCGACTTGTTGGCCGTGAAGAGCATGTTGAACAAATGAATTCTTGTCGGCCGTTATCCGAATGACCGGATAATCCCATTGATGGTTTGCGGTGAACGGGCAAAGACCTCTGCCATTTAATGTCACTGGCATGCACTCCTAGAGGTAATATAACCGCACAGGACCGACGTGCCTGCAGCAGGCAGCAACCGACTCGACACCTCAAGCTATTCCGCCATGTAACGTAGCTCTCACAAGTACCATGCTTTGCCAAGAGGCAGCATCGCATTCGTGCTCGAGCGATACTGTCATGATATTAACCTCTCATAATGAATAATAACTATAAATTGATACAAGAAATGTGCTTTCGAGATATTTTGCCCAGATTCTTTCGATTCTTGGATTCGAGGGATCCAGCGGCGTCCACCGAGCTCCGTCAACGTCGCTACTATAAGCACATCTCGGTCAGGTTCGTACCGTGCTATTCTCTGCGCGGATGCTACCAAGGACAAACAAGCACAGGTGAAATCGGTTCATTTCCGGATACACCTGTCACGATCAATATACGAATATATGTGGTTTGGGAGGTCGCGGCAAAGCATTGTGGCCACGGAAAGTCAATTTGTGAGACCAACATGGGCGCCGTGAGCAAGTTTCCGTACCCCAAGCACACGTGGTCGCCGGCCGGTGGCTGGTGGAACGAGCCGAAGAACTGGAAGACGCGCACGGGCGTCCTCGTCGGCGTGCTCGGCCTCCTCATCGTGCCCATGGCCTCGTTCGCCACCAAGCACAAGACGACCTACAGCCACCTCCCGGCCACGCAAGAAGAGTAAAGCCGCAGGCCGCGCCGCTACGTAAACAACCGTGTATAGCACGTCCCGTGATTCTATACATGCATGCTTTGTGTGTCCTAGCTCCGCCTACCACGGTTCTCGCTTGCGCAGCAGGCTTATAGCGTCCGCCGCAGCGTCGACAATGGCGCTAGCCCAACCGTCTCCAACGTGGCCTGCGTGGCGACCATATCCTAGCTGCCAACGTACGCTGCCGTACGCATGCAATGGCGCCACCGTGCCTGATAACCGGTGAGGTCATAGCTCAGTCGAGCCACAGATTAGGAGGCAAGGACAGAGGCGCAACGTGAACGGTGGGATTTATACATCACTACGTGTGCCATAACTACACATCCCGCACCGATCGCGCTGCTAAAACTGGTGGTGCGAACGGTCGATCTCCTTGACGGCGCCGTCCGCATTGGGCTTGAGCGAAAACGTGCGCGAGAACGCGGGCTTGTTGAGCTTCCACTTGGTCTTGTTATCGCCATTGTTGTCACCATCGAGCGGCTCCGAGGCCATCGTGTCGTCGTCATTGTTGTCTTCGTCGCCTTCGGGCACCGTGGGCGATCCCAGCGCGACGGGCACGTCCCACGACGTCTCGCCCGTCGTCTCGTTTACATAATAAAACGTGCCCGGCGTCGACGAGCTCTCGCGGGCGATCCAGCCTTTCGGAAGGTTGGCAGCCGCTTTCGTCGGCGTCTGTGGGGCCGTCGTGAGCTGGCGCTTGAGCTTCGAGCCAATCGCGAGGCGGCTCGTGACTGCCTTGGCTTTGCTGAAGCCGAGGTTAAAGGCCGAACCCGCCGCGCTGAGCATCTGCGTCGACGACGCATTACTCGAGAAACCGCGGCCCCTAAACGCGCGCAATTTTGAGATTTAGCAGGCATCTCGGGTACACGTACTTGTTGCGCATGGCCGAAAACTGCTTGCTGCTGATCGTGCCTTGCGAGTCGTCGAGGACTTGTTCGAGGATTTCGTGGTTGAGTTCATCCGCGGGCTCGTCATCGTCGTCCATGGGCGAGCTTGGGACAGGCGTGTTCTTCTCGCGCTCATCCTACCGCATGCTAAGTTTACCGCCGATTGCATCTTGGCGCACCTCGATCTCCGCTTGGAGCACTTTGACAGCGTCGTTGCGGGCGTGCACGTGCGTTGCAAGCTCTTCGACGAGCGACGCGAGTTTGGCGATTGAGCCAAGGGCATCAAGGGAAGGCGCGAGCGCCTCGTACGACTCGGGCTCGGCCAACGCGCCGCAAGCAGCCTGTGTCGCCGCCATCGCTTCCTTCACAACGTACTTGGAGCGGCGCGTAATGTGGTCAAGCTGTTCCGTGAGGCGCACAATGGCTTCCTGCGTCTTCTCGCACTTGTCCTTGAGCGTCCGGACTTCCTCTTGGAGGTCTTCTTTCTCCGAGTCGATCGTCTTGTACCGGTGACCCTGCAGCGCCTTCATCCACTCAATGGCGTGGGCCTCCATGCGCGCCTGGCGTTGTGCAGGCGTCTCGCCTGCAATCTCGTCGGCCTACACGCCTCGGTCCATGAGGTGTGTCGACAGCAGGACTACATACGGCGTCTTCGGGCGCAATGTCGAGGTACAGCGGTCGAATCTTCTTCTGCTCCGTCGTCTTGACGTCAGCAGCGACGCGGAAGCTGTGGGCCGAGCCACCAATGCTGCGCTTGATGCACTGCGAGTTAAGTCGCACGTCCGTCATATACTCGAGGTCGATAACGCCACGTGGGTACTCGTCTGTCGGCGTGCGATAATAGTACAAGAACGTCGAGGGCTTGACGACAAAGTAGTAGGGCGTCCAATGGCCCTTCTCGTTGTCGGCCTCCTTGCGCAGAAACCCGGCCTTGGTGCCGAGCTGCGAGAGCTCGGGCGCCGACGTCGGTGGCGACCCGCGGATCTGGCATGGCCGCCATGAGCCATTGCATCTGCAGCATGCGTACCTTTTGCTTGGGCGCCGCCACCTTGCCGTCGGGCTTGCCCACGAACGAGGCGTTGCTGCTGCTGCTCGTCGTGCTCATTGCTGGCAAAAATGGCAAACTGCCGTCAACCCAAATCCTGCCTCCGCCAAGCTTGATCTTTGTATGCGCATAGAACGACCAAATGTAACGGCGACCCTCCTATGCACAGGTCAAGCCAATCAATGACGGCGCGCCCGAGGCTGCGGTCACGTGTACCGTACTATACCGCTGTGCTACAGGCCGCCCACTGACGCCAGCGCTTTGGCCACGAGGCTATGACGACCGACGCCAACGATCCGACACCGGCGATTTCATCCTCGGTTCATTGACACGAAGAGACGGTTCGCGATGTCGAGAAGCTCCCACCACGAGCCCGCGACGGTGGCAAGCCACGGGTCAATAAGATCTTGCAGCATCATCGACCTCCTCAATCGCGTTAGACCTTGAACGGTCGTCTGGTTGATGTATAACGACTGGGCCACCGACACAAAGGGCAAGATGGAGGACCTCGAACGATCTGAGAAATGTCTTTATTATTGACCCATGGAAATGTTCACGTTGGAAGCTGTCGTCATTGACTTGATGTTTGAGATACTGGTAGCGAAGGATCAAGGCTCAATAAATAAAAGATTTTTATTCACCCTTGGCAGGATATTCGAGATTGCTAGGTTCATATTTGTATGGGTGAACTATGGACCCTTGGTGAAGTGCAGCGCCTAGTTGCAGGGCTTCGAGGCGAAGGCATACCACACCATACTTTACTGTACGGTGTTACTAGTACATACTAGTATGCACTAGCCAGCCACGCCAGATTGAATATTAAAATCTCGCGCTTCATGGTGACCACAGAAATTTCGCCCCCACAGCGATACACCGCACAAGACGTGTTGCACGGGCGACGTGATACAACTCGTAGCGCCGGCTCTGGGGAAGATGAGCACATATCATTCTGGAGATCATTCGAGCGACCGCGAGAGACAGCACCAGACACATCGATGCAGCGCGATGGCGGAGACGTTTCGAGCGACAATTTGCCCACGGTTTACCATTCGTTGCATGATCTCTGGGCGCTCGTTATTAGATTAGACCAGCTGGACGCGCCACTTTTTCTCCAGCAAGGATACAAGTCGCTGCACTTCGCCTTGCAGGTATCGCTTTGGTACGTCTGTCTGGAGCTTGTAAGGTGAATGGGGCTCTGATCGAAGAGCGCAAGCAGCTTGGATCGGCTTGGGCTTGATGGGCGTGAAGAGGAGGCTCAGCACTGGCAGCTCGTCCGTCATTTTAGCAGTGGCTGCCTCGATCTTAGCTTTGTATTTGGCTTTTTCCTTGGCCGAGACACTGCTTTTCCAGTGCAAGCACACGGTTTTGTACGATGGCAGCCGGGCTTTGAACGCAGCATTGGCCACGGAGGCCGACGCCACTACGGCCTCGAACGCCTGAGACGGTGTCGGCTCTTCACGCTTGCCGACGCTAGCATAAAAATCAAATCTGCACCTTTCGAGAATCTTCGTCGTACGGCGGAAGCACCTTGAGTCCTTGGGTCACGGCAGCGATCGCCCACTGGTAAAATAGCTTTTCATCCGCGTAATTTTGTAGCCTCATACATAGCCGTAGGGCGACAAACGTCTGAGATAGCAAGACGTACCGTTGGTCGAGCGCGATGCGGTGCAGCCTCAGCTCCTCTGGGTGGCGTAAGAGCCAGAGCTCGTATGGGCTGAGCACACTCGCTGCAATGCCGTCATCGTCCATCAACACTTTGCTCGTGCCTACGCGTTCGTAGTTAGAGAAGCCAGATCACTCTCCGAACACGGTACCCAGCTGGGCGAGCTGCGACTCTCGAATCCGAGCGAGGAGTGTTTTGTGCGCTTTTTGCAGCGCATGCCACTCCTAGTGGTCGAGAGATGTCAAGCGTGGACCTCGTGCGCTACGGCTTTGGAAGGTTCATAGTAACGTGCCTTGAGTTGCGACTGCAATTTGCCGTACGCAAAGTGAGTGGCGTGGACCGTGTGCAGCAGCGGTGCCGACGTCTATACACGTAGTTTCGTTTCAGTGTACGTTCTTGAAATGCCGGCGTACCGAGCACGGTGGGCGACGCTGCGAGGTGCGTCGCGCCGCCACCGCAAACGCATCCCGGACGGTCGATGGATGCAATGGCGGTACCTACACCGCCGACAATTGATCAGACGCCATCCATAATGCTTGAAAACCGTACGTTGGGGTACGGAGGCAAGTGAATATGGTCGTATCCAAGCTGCCGCCGCACGATCGCCGTCGCTTGGCGCGAAAACAAGTGACTTTGGCCAAAGAGGAAGACGATCGCGGCCAAGAGGATCGGGCCTGGTAGCGTCAACGGACTTTGCGTCGTGTAGAACTCGTGGCAGAGAAAGCCCCACTCGTAGAGATAATAGCGTGCGGCCTCGACGCAGACCTGATTCGAATGCGACTACGGGCGCTATATATCAAAGGACGTACATCAAACCCGTCAGGCTCATCAAAGAGCGCTTGGGACTGCGCTGCGACAGCCATTCTATCCACGCTAAAGTCGGCGAGGATGACGAGGCAGAGATCGTGCAGTGCGCGCCAGAACGGAATGCACTAGAGCATGCCATGTAGCTTTTGCAAAGTGCAATGTGGCGAAGTACCAGGAGCGCGTGGCTGTCGTCAAACTCGGTCGCGCTCACGCTGCTCGTCTTAGCCCGCCGGATGTCCTCAGGCGTGAGGTACTCGATGCCGACGGTCGCCAGCGCGTCGCGCAGCAGCAGCACGAACGTTGCCTTGGACCGGCGCGGCTGCGCATCGGCCATCGTGGCGTCGTATCCGGATGTTCCGGATACAGCTGTGGCGCTGTTGACTGCCAGACCATGGCACGAACTCGACAGGCCGACAATGCCAGTCTAGTGGGATTGACAACTATTATACTACCAAGGGTGTACAATATACTCTTGCTACGACCTGGCACGTAGGAGTATAATTTTGTTCAGGGCTGATACCGTTGCTCGGCCCAATTCGCTCTTGCATCAGGTTCCAGCGTACTGCGATGTTCCCTCCAAGGCCCCAATACCGGTATTGCGTGTTCACGTCGGTGCACGCACCCAGAGACGAGACCTCGGAAACTGACTAGAGTTTGCTCTGGGCTTTGGATGACATTCCAATTGAAAAAGGACCTGTCGAAGCTCGGACCTCGCAACTGTATGACTTGACGGTGCAGTACGCCCGGGGCCGTTTCTTGGAGGCCACTACTGTATGAGGCACGAGACACTCATGGACGTCGCCATGCGTGCGGCAGCGGAATTGAGCACGCGCTTTAGAAAAGCAACTTTAAGGCACGATAAAAGGCAGAGAAATGAAACGGGTTCAAAATGGGGACGCTGTTTAGCCAGCGCCGCGCTGCTTCTCCTTCTTCTGCGTCCGCCGCTTGGCCTTTTCCTTGCGGAGACGGTCGGCTTCAAGAAGCTCCTTATCGCGCTTGACCTTGCTGTCGTGCTCCTTCTTCATCTTGTCGCGAATCGCTTGCTGGTGTTCCTTGGCCTGCGTCTTGTTCGTGTTGACAGGACCACTCTCCTCAGTCTTCTACACTCCACAACACTGCATGAGTATACTGATGCCGTCAAAGTCGCACCTTGGTTTCGCGCACAATCACGTTGCCGTCTTCGTCCAGGAACGACGAGTCGGCTGCACCGTACTCGTTGAGGATCTTCTCACGCTGCAGCATTTCCTCGCGCGTCCTACCATATCCATGAGCCACAGAAGCGATAGCGTAACACGCCTTACATATGCTGCCGGGCTTGGGCCTTCTCGGCTTCTTTGCGCTCGTTCTCTTCAACGAGCTTGAGCTCCGCCTTCTTCTTCTCCTCGAGCTCCAGTTTGGCCTGCTCCAAGCTCTGCGCAGCCTTCGTCGCCGCTGCGTCTTCCTGCTCCAGCCACTTGGCTTTGATCTGCGCGTCGAGGCCGGCTAGGCCTGCGTCGTTCTCGACGACAGCGCGAAGGACGTCGACCGCTGTCTGGCAACGCTCGTCGAGGTCCGTATCCTCGTCAGCGACGATGCCACGCACGTACTCGCCATAGACCTACGTGCATATCATCACCTCTTCTTTCTCTCGAGGCCGGAGCAACGCGTACCTCGCCGTCGATCGCAAGCTCGTCCAGGCGCTTACACAGCCAGTCGTCGAAGGTCATGGCTGCTTTGGTCGTCGCTCTGCCAGCAAGAAAGCCCGTGCAAATTTCCGGTTACTATCCGGTTTTCGTGAAATGTACATGGGGAACAACCTGCGCCAAATCCTGTTTGTAGCAGCACTCGAAAAGGATCACTGGAAGAAATTAGGTGTGGGAAAATTCTTCCATATGAAGTTCTTTCCCAAATGATGATCGTTGAACAGCTGTTGCTGAGACGGTGGGATTTATACCTTGTTACACCCCTAACCGAAAACGAACTGATCCACCTCACTATATATGTTTTTCTTGATATACTACTTCCTTTTACACTCAAAAGCATCAAAATCCGCACTCAACGTCACATAAAACAATGGATTCAGGATATACACACACCACAACTGCGATGTCCCACCTTGCGCAATGCACACGATTCGCTCGACAACCTAGCACGCAGGGTTGGGCGTCGGAGCGACAGTAGGCGCGGGCGTCGGCGCATCCGTTGGCTTGGGCGTCGGCGCGACGGTCGGTGCAGGCGTCGGTGCATCGGTTGGCTTGGGCGTCGGCGGCGAGTAGTACGCCGTCCACGTTTGGATCGACGTGTCGAACGGAATCGTGCCTGCGTAATCTGTGGACAAGTCAGCTCCCGCCTGGTGCAGCATGCATGGCGGCTTGATCGTGAGCATAAAGTCGGTGACGGTCTTGTAAAAGTTCTTGCAGTTGCTCGACTTGGCAAAGTCCTTGACCATCTGGAGGTTCTTGGGGATCCAGTTGGGGTTCATCATGGCCGAGACGGGCTCGTTGATGTCCTTGCTGCACGTGGCAAAGACGCCGTTGCCGTCCATCGCGATGGGCAAGAGACCGGCAAAGTTGGCGACGGAGCAGTCGGGGACCGCGGCGGACGCAGACGCGACGATGAGGGCAGCGACAAAGGTCTTCATGGTGCGGAGAGTGGGAATGCGCTGGAGGAGGCAAATGAGAGAATGAAATGACTCCTAGGCCATGAAGTGCAAGACGAGCAAGGTACTACAATCGCACGCCCGCGGCCCACGGCCATTGCGCTGAGATCTTGTGGAGTTGGATGGATGAAGATGGATGCGCTCAGAGTCGTCCAGCCTGTACAGGCCGTGTAGTTGGCACACTTACAATCATAGCGTCGAACGTTGTCGGGTTTCGGGTGTTTGTGAATACGAACGCATCCTATCTCGCTCATGTGCGCCTCAGCTAGCACTAGTACGGTTGCCCCCACGACAGACTATTTTGGGGTGCGTCATCTGGGACTGATCCTGGGCAAGTTCAACCTGGGCGAGTTGCTATCTCCTGGTCGAGGTGCTGTTCTTGTGGTGCTGGATTGCAATGAGTTTTGCAGGCTTGACACCAATAGCGATTCGCCATATGTCGTTTGTTTATGGTACTTACGACTTTCGTCTTGGAGATCCTATTTATGCAATTGTTGCGCAAGGGAACTGTGTCGAAGCTACATGGTCCTCTAGTTCTGTGTCTATCAACGGCTCTGGAAGCCCGTGTATGCGTACAGACCAGATGCAGTAATGTGTCGAGTCCCACGGATCAGAACGACAATCCGAGCCCACAACGCCACGCAGGAAGGTTCTCTATGGAAGGCATTTTGTGGTCACATCGACAACAACCCGACGATGAGTGGAAACCAGTACGACGTGGGGGCATTGAAACCCCAGACAAAAGGACAGTCTACGCTGCCACGATCAGGGTACTACGACCGCATTTGATGATACGAAGAGCACAAACCATGCTGAACATCCCTCCCAATATTTTGGTGAACGATGCATACACGACGCAACGACGAGTTGCGTCGAACACGTAAATAGTGTTGGCAAAGGCTCAAGTAGCTTGCAGCGAACCGTCAATACGCCGGGCTATCTGCTCTGCCCTTTGATGGCACGACTTAACTTGGGTACACTAGTCACGAGAAAAAA